TGAGCAGCGTGACCCACTCCCCAGGGCTCGTGGTACTGAATTAGCGAGGAGAAATAGGGAAAGGAAACAAAGACAGGCAGACTAACATGAAAAAACACATTTTATTGCACTTAAGTTATAAGAAAATAAAATTTCTAAGTGAATCAAACCATAGACACAATCCCTTTAAAGGTCGTTTTCCTCCGTCATGTCAGGTTGTTACAGAACTAAAATTAACCAACTGGAATCCGATTGTTTTCAATCAGACTATAAATAAAACAACAACAAAAAAAAAAGAACAAAAGAAAAAGGGAGGAAAAAAGATCGCCCAGGATACAGTGTTAAACCACTTTCACAGTTCAGCTTGAGTTGTGGCTCTTGGAGAATGAGGCAAACCGACTGACCCTTTCTCTTCCCGCTCCCTTTGCCTGTGACACCTGCACAACAACGTACATCTCTGCGCTGTCAGTTCCCCCCAGCGCTAACTGTAACAGCTGTTTGATTTTTTTGTTTTCCCCCCAAATACTGTAACGCACCAAGGCTGACCGGCAATGCTGTTGTCATCGCCGTGTTTTTATCGTCTTTACGAATCCTGTCAGGTTTTCGGCGCGCGTTCGTTCCATTCACCACAGCCCTCGCCAAGAAAGCTCTCCCCACAGAACAGGCCGCGATAGCTTTGTTCCAAGGAATGTGTTGTAATTTTTGCCCAGAAAAAAGAAAATAAGCTTTGCACACACACTCAATTCTTTATTTGCAGGCAAACTTCACTCTTAATTGTCTGAAACTCTTCCACTCTCAGCCTCTTAGAGGCACAGTTGGCTCAAGTTTCAGTGGCAAAAAGTCTTTTTTCGGTAACCAAACTAGAGCAAATTTGGAATTCAGTCTGGGACTAAAACGTCACAGCAGAAAAAAAAAAATAACAAAAAATAATTTGCTTTTCTTTCTTTCGTTTAGCAGCATAAATAAGTTTGGCCACTGGGAATACAGTACAGGGGTGGGACAACGATCCCGTAATTGAAGACCTACTTCTAGCACCAGCATTGCGAACTCAGTCCATCAGAGGACCCTCTCAACCCGGGGCAACTCGCCCCCTCAGAGCAACTCGCGCGTTGGAGAGTGTAGACGGAAGCAACGGTCAGCAGATTAAACGGAGGCTAATACTGTGATTGACGTTGGCAATGGTTGGCAAAAAAAGAGAGGAATAACAGAAAAAAACAGAAGAAGCTCAGATAAAACTGTACAAAACAATTCACAGTAGTATTTTAGCTTTTCCACACCAGGAACGGACTCTTTGCTTTTGTCGGTTTCTCATTGCAGACGCTCTCTCGTTTTTGAACGTCACCCGGTGAGCGCCCAGAGGGGCTGGAGGGGACCCCCCGGGGGGCGTCCGGTCCAACCCCCTGCTCGGAGCGGGGCTCAGGGACAGCGCGTTGCTCGGAGGGGCTGCCGGGAGCCGGGCATGCGGGCTGACCCGCACAGCTCCTCTCGGCATCTCTGCGGCAAATCGCCTGCTAACGAGAACCGCCACGGGGTTCTGTTCCACCTCCCCATCGCTGGAGGCGCGGTCGGAGGAAGGGAAAGAATTGCACCTGGTTGCGTTTGAAAAGCTGTATTTTTGCAAAGCTGCCCCGGTCAAAAGTGTCGCCTTTTTATGTGAGGAGACAGCGAACGCCTCTCTTGTCAGCTACAGTTTGTCATCTCTGTCGTCTCCCAAGCAGTCCGTAGGTCTTTCGGATCTGTTGCCCCAAGCCAACATCCTGCACCACCAAGGACAAGGGATTTTTTTTTCCTTTTTTATTTGTTTTTCTCTTTTCTTTTTTTTTCCAGGGGGAGGGAAAGGAGAACATCGTCTACACGTCTGGACAAGTTAATCTCTCTGCCCGTCACTTCATATCCACGTCGAAGTCCAACACCAGCAGCTTTGTTTCCTCAGTCCCGTTGCGGCTCCCAACCGCGCACACCAGCTTTGTGTTAGAAGCTCTGATCCGCCACACGACGCCTCCGCTTCCCCCGCTCTCCAGCGTGACTAGGTTTCGGATAAATTCACCCGTTTTCAAGTCCCAGAGTTTTACAGTCCCGTCATCTGAGCTGGTAATTACAAAGTTCTTGTTGAACTGTAAACATGTCACAGCACTCTGATGCTTGTTGGGACCTGCAAGGGGAAACCAGAACGTTCTGTCATGAGAAAGCAGGGGCAGGCAGCACCGCGTACGGGATTAACGCCCACCGCGCATGTGTCCACCCCTCTTCCCGCCCCTCGGAGCATAAACTCGGGTTCTGCATGTCGGAAGGCACGGAATCACAGGATCACGGAATGGTCTGGGAGGGAAGGGACCTTAAAGACCATCCAGTTCCAACCCCCTGCTGTGGGCCTTGTCGCACGTTTGTAAAGCGACCGCAGGTATAGAAGGGTTCCCCCACCTCCCCTCCTCTCCAGACGCTCCTGCCAGTGTCTGTCTCCAGGCCCCGTTGCAGGATGACTCTGTCAGCGATCAGTGACTGGTACGCACTGATGTGTGCACGCATCCTGACAAAACAGCAGAGCCTGCTTTACAGGGAAATTCCCGCTCCAGCCAGCGATGCTGCGTGATATGGAGGGATGACGTATGACCCTTCTGGTGGGGAGAGCCCGACCAGCGTGTTCGTGTGTGCGACGCCCAAGTGGCAGCCGTCAACACGGAAATGAACAACCCTTTCTTCTTACTGCAGGAACGCAGACACCGTCCACGCGTGCCTCCCGATTTACTGCAGTGGACGGTGTCCTTCGCCTCCCGATTCAGTTAACCAGTGGGCTTCGACACCTTGGAACAGGCGAGTGGTTTGAACAGGTCAGATTAAATACATCTTGGGAAAGGCCCTGCTGCTGTCCCCGGAAACAAACTCGAGCTGGGTTGCGTCGCGTGCCGTTATTCAGGAGTGTTTGCTCCTGCAGAACCCGCGGCGCAGCCGACGGCAGGCGGCTCGGTTTACGGGGAGGTACTTGAAGCTCACCTTGCAATGTC